TTGTGGCCATTTTGGAAGTGAACCAGCGAATGGGAGATCTTTCTCTCTGTCTTTTCTTCTCTCTGTAAATTCACCTCTTCAATAAAAATAAGTAAATCTTTTTTATTATTAAAAAAGATGCATTTGTGTGTGCCTTGTTTTTTTTTTTTTTAATCGGAGAGAGAGAGATACAGAGAACCCCCATCCACTGTTTTACTCTCTAAATGTTCACAGCAGTTGGGGCTGGGCCAGGTTGAAGTCAGACCAGGGATTTATACCCATGTGGGTCTCCCATGTGGGTAACAGAAACCCTTATACTTGAACCTTCATTTTGTTGCCTTGTTGCCTCCCCTCCCAGTGTACACATTAGGAGGACGTTGGAATCAGAAGCAGAGCAGGACTTGACCCCAGGCACCCAATATGGGATATGGCACCCCAAGCAACATCTGAACCTCTAGAACAAATGCCTGCCCTGGGGTGAGGTTTTTGATACCGTGGATTCACTGTGCCAACCCTAGAACCCCTGCCCACTTCTTGAGTGAGCACCATAACTTTTCCTGTGTTTCAAGCCATTGATATTTAAGGTTTTCATTGTTTGCTTTTAATATGTGCTCACTGACACTCTCTTCCAATATAACCATTGAATCCATGTGCTATCACAGATTCTCTAGGCCAAAGCCCCCAGAAATGACAATGGCAAAGGAAGACAAAAAAAAAAAAAAAAAAGAGAGAGAGAGGGAGAGAAAAAAAGAGAGAGTATGTGAGAGATCATTCATCTACTGATTTATGACCGTGACAGAGAAAGACAAAGAGTTCTTCCATTCACCAGTTCATTCCTTAAATGCCCATAACAGCCAGGGCTAGGCCACCCAAAGCCGAAAACTACATCCAGGTCCCACGTGGGTAGCAGGGACCCAAGTACTTGACCCATCACCTGCTGCTTCTTAGGGTCTGCATATGCTGGATGTGGATCTCAAATGAAGGTAGCACTTAAATTGATACTCTACTATGGGCATCCTAAGACACGGCTTAACCTGCTGTTAATGTAATTGCTCCGTTTTTTTTTTTTTAATTGTTGTTGTTTTAATGCGGATTCATTCCATCCAGTTGCTTTCATAAAGGAGTATTTACTGAATGAATACATGGGTGGGTGGAATGAAAGTACCTGTTTGCACCCCTGTTGTGCTATTTACCTTTGTTCTCAGCCTCAGTTTTCCTTTCCCACTTTTATCACCTCTCCCTTTCTGTCAAACTGATTTTGCACTCTTTTTCCTCCTTTTAACATTATGTGGTCCCAGGTCCCTAGCCTGACACCATTCTACTCACCTCATTCTCCTGGCTTATTGCAGCATACACCTAGGCCCAGCCTAAACCCACTTTTGTCCTGTGATTCCCTCTCTGTCTTCAGAGTACAAACACAATGGAGTTCCCCTGAGTACAGCACTCCCCCTTCAGAATCCTTTGCTTTTCTTGTGGCCCTGATCTAGTGTCTTTGTAAGCAAACATTTCTTCTTCTCTCCAGCATCATAAACACTTGAAAAACCAGACCAGTAACCTGCTTTTACTTGTCTGCCTCACAAGAACAGAGTGTTACTATTAAGGTGATGCTCAGAAAGTTCTGTTGAATGAAGGCAGCGTCATACAGTGGTTAATCTATTGACTGCTTGGCTTTCTGGCACAGGAAAGTCAAGTTAATGTCCACATCATTTGCTTGCTGTGTCAACTCCAAGCAAGTCAACTAATTTGTTCAAACCTTTGTTTTTTTATTGGTTTGCTTGTTTGTGAAATAGAGGCATAAGAGTGTTACCTTATAGGACTGCTTTTTATCTCTCTCTCAGAGAGAGGGAGAGAATGCCTACAGGCTATTTGGCACAGAGACCAGCAGAGAGTAAATATCTATTATTCAGTTACTTGTTAGCATTAGCAGATGTCTTTAAATGAATGAATATTATCATATTCAGGAACAAGTAAAGGTTATTCTCATAGGTAGTTATTAACTGTGCTTAGTAGAGTATGCTGGTGGGATGGTATTGCACACATATAGCACAGATCTTGTACACAGGACTTTCCTACTTTCCAAGTGTTTTAATAGAGAACTATAGTGAACCTAAAGGTATTTATTTGCTTGGGAAACTAACTAGGAGAAAGTGGAAGGAGCACTTCCATTTGTATGCTAATGATGAGTGCTTGCTTAAATTTGGAAAATTGTTCAGGTCAGGACACCTGGCTGCCAACCTGAAAACCTGGCTCCTGCTAATTAAAGCCGCAAGGAATTTCTTGGCAGGATCATAGCAGAGTTGTGGGTTTGGTTTAAAGAATCACCAAGAAAAGTAATGATCCAGACCCAGAAAATGGTGGCCATACGGATACAACCAAAAAGAGCAGACTGCTAAGGATGCCATCATGGGGACCATGTGTCCTCAGGACATCTGCTGTCACATGGCTGTTCTCTGCTATCCACAACAATGGATATTGCAGTTTCCAGGTTGTCATTGTCACCACAGGGAATGTTTGCTGAATGCTTTAGGTGCTGGTGACCCAGACTGGGTCACATCTGGCTTCTGCAGCTGCCCTAAGGAGAGGGGAGGAAACACCTGCTCTTTCAGGTTGTGAAACCAGGAAGCCTCTTGGATATCCTTTGTCTTAGAGGATGCTGAACAAATTCTATGAATGTCCATTAGGGCTCCCCAGAAAGCCTGAAGACAGGATCAGAAAAATCAAAGGCTCGGAGGGGTTCCCTGCAAGAATTTTGCATGCAGCCCATAGATGTCTCCTTCTGCATGCAAGCACTTCTGAATACAGAGGAAATAACAGCAGGGGTATTCTCATCCTTTTTAGCAGGAATGGGAATTTCAAAGGGACCCTTCTTAGCAAACTGAATGAGTTAGTGAGGCCCGCTAAGGAGCCGAACTGGGTACAATGATATTTCGCTCTCACATGAAGCACAGAGGTGTGATGAGAGGAGGTGTTTTGTTTGGACTCCTCCTGATGGGCTTAGACCTAGGGTCCCCTGGAGCCCCAGGGGCAGAGGCCAAGCCTCTCTCCTGAAAGGGGGCAGCAGATGGTATTCTCAGCACCCCTGATGACAGCGTAATGGCTGCAGGAAGCCATGGGGCTCCATCTGGGAGGGAGCCTGTCTCCTGCCGCCAAGAAGTCAATGTGTTTGCAATCTTCACACTTTCTGTGGGGCTCTTTCAGGAGGGCAGATTGTAGAAGGCTGGAAAATTCCGCCTGAGGAAGGACCACACCTTTTCATGTGGCTTCAACACAGCCAGGGTCACCCTGAGAATCGGAAGGTGAAAGATGGCAGGGTGGAGTGTGGCACACATGTTGGGAAAGCCAGAGATTATTTCTGGGGCGGTGAGAAGGGGGTGCGATGAAAAGGTGGGAGGATGTCAAGCTCTGATATTTGCAAATGTTGGTGGCCAAGCAATTCATTCTCCCTCCCAATCTAACCCACACACTTGAGCCAGAAAAACGTATTCCCGGCTGTTTCCACGGCTCTTACTCAGCTCCAAGTCATTTCCCCTCTCAGATTATTTCCATTTTTAAGGCCCAATTTCCATTCGCTTTTTGATCTTCTGCTTTTAAGACATTGAGCCAATAGGATCACGAGCCAAGTACCAAGTTTTCTTTCAAGGCTTTGAACCGATCCTTTACGTCCTCATCCTCTCCTGGGCAGTGGATTCTCTTTGGGTTTGCCGGCTCAGAGTACTCCAGGTGGAATCAAAGAGAAGGGGGTTATAAAAGGTTGGAGGTAAAAGTGAAAACTCTAAGATGCCTCTTGTAAACATCAATGACTGCCCAGAGGAAAGGTGCTGTGAGAAATTAATAAATTAATTACCAGTTTATTAACGAATAACATATGGTTCACACCATTGAAAAACACTGATTTGGCATCCCAGGAGAAACGTCTTCTGAAATTTTATGATATCGTTAGTTTTATGTGAATTTTTAAAAATGATTTTCAGTTTAATTTTTCATCACCATTAATAAAACAAAGTACACTATGGCCGAGTCTACTGGGCATAAAAAGAAAAAAATACCTGTGAGTGGTTCTTTGTGCTTTGCACACACACACACACACACACACACACACACACACACACACACAAAATGTCAACAGTCTTCTGTCTTAATTTTTAAGTTTTATCACGGCAAGATTTATGAAATAATTCCATAGTTCCTTTTGTGGTCTCACAGTGTTAGGCAGCGGCAAGTACCTAACCTCACAGAGTTAGTTACTTTGTCACTTTTCTACAAGTTGTGGGGTGGGGAGGTGGCCTTACCTGCCAGTCTCAAAAAAAAGTCACCCAAGTCCACGTTTTTATGGTTTCCAAATTGCATCTAAGTTTTGATTCTAAACGTTGCAATGTACCCCTCCGTGTGGTGGGGTGAGGGATAGGGGGCGAACTCTCACCACCCACAGATGTTGCGAGCAAGCCGGGCAGCGTCCACAGCGCCGCCGGAGAGAGATTTCTGATGCCCACCTCTCTCCTCTCTTCGCTACGAATTTCAACTTCATCCCAGGCAGCTGCCGGGTCGTTCAAGAGAATACCGCTCTGGCTTTCCCTTTGCAAAACTGCATGTCTGTGGCGGACTGGCACCTCTTTCAGGGCAGCCGCGTGCCTGCCAAATCAATCATTCTAGAAGTAAAGGAAACTGGGACTATTTACGTAGCCTCTTATTATTTCCAGAATCAAAAAAGAAGAAGAAAAAACACAGGCAAGGGAGGGAACATTTCCGTGCCTTGCTCTTCTAAACCGTTCCCATGCTAAGATGCTCCGTGGAAGGGAACCGGGCGGTGGGCAGAGGCTGTGAGTCGCCGATAAGGAGCGCCTCACATTTCCGTGGCATTCCCATTTGCTAGTGCGCTGTGGCCGCACGCCTGATTGATATATGCCTCCAATGGCACTTTTCCATTTGACATTCTCTCTCCCCCCCCCCCGCTTCTCTCTCTCTCTCTCTCTCTCTCTCTCTCTCTCTCACTCTCTCCCGCTCTCTCTCTCCCAGTGTCGCTTAAACAACAGTCCTAACTTTTGTGTGTTGCAAATATAAAAGGCAAGCCATGTGACAGAGGGACAGAAGAACAAAAGCATTTGGAAGTAACAGGACCTCTTTCTAGCTCTCAGAAAAGTCTGAGAAGAAAGGAGCCCTCCTTTCTCCCAAGGTAAGCAGGAAAACAAGCGCTGACGGCTCGCCTAGGAAATTACTTCTTTCCAAACCCAGCATTTCATCCTCCTCGCAGACAAAGAGGCAACCTTTAAATACCACTTAAATTTGCATTACTTTCATTTGCATTAATCTGTAGCCTGCTAGCATTGTGTTTTTTTAATGAACGGGGCTTTGAAGTCTGCGGAGCAGGGAGCCTCCCAGAGAAGCAGAGAAAAAAAAAATTATATCTTCTGGGTTCGACTTTAAGAGATTTTTTTTTCTTTGCAAACTATCTGCGTAGTTAGACGTAAGTTTGTAATGGTTCTTATATCTGACCCTGTGAAAGGGGCCAGCGCAGCAGCAAGTCGCCGACTTTGATTCACGGAGCCCGGTATCTTCCCCACCGCCCTCATCCCACTTACAATGGGGGCACTATGAACACAGGCGAGCCTACGAGGTTAAAAGCGCACTGTTTACTTTTATTACTACTTATGTATGCTGCTGATCTCCTGCCAGGGCTCTGCCGGAGCGCTCAAAAACGACTTCAAACAATAGGCAACATTTATTTCTAGCTTTCCGTGTCAGCCTTTGCTGCAGGAATCCAGCTCGTTTTCTCCCAACGCGCGCGGGACTTCGCTGCCATAGATGCGTCCGGGGAGCAAAGAGGGTGGTAGTAGTGGAGGGCGGGCGGCGGGGTGGAGGAGAGGGTGATGAGGACGGGTTTACTGTATGATTGTGATTGGGTAAAAAGAAAAAAAAAAATTCGAGGAAATGCATGCTGTTTGCCTTGGCCTTCTTGCAAGGGGTTATTTTTAGTAGTCAGCTTGTCCCAGGAGTGCCAGGGGGAAAGGATGCTCCCACTAGCCCAGGGGACCAGGACCCGTAGGAACGAATCCTATAGACACCTGCGGGATAGTCTGAGGCTTTTTGCTGACTCCTGAAAACGAGTGTTCTCTCTAAAGGAACAACTGAGCTGTAGGAGGCCCGGGCACCAGTGCTTTCCTGGGGGAACGGGAAGTTCGATTGTGTCCAGAATGTTAATGACTTAGAACTCACAGTAACTGAGGCTCATTGTATTGGACGAGCTCTGCTAAGTTTCCAGGAAAGAAGCAGACACCCCTGTCTAGAGCGGTTCAGGTGTGGGAAGGAAAGCTGTCTGACAAGATGGTAGTCCCACGTGCAGCTCTCTGCAACTGTCATTAATAACAGCAATAGCTGCTGCCAGGCAGGTCTCTCTTCAGTTCTCATACTAGTGACTTTTCATTATAAGAAGCTGTCCTTGGCCAATTGCACTATCATGTAACTTTCAATATCAGGCGTATTTGGAAGTATAGAGATGCTAGAGTGCTGCCAAAGATCCTGCAGAAGCTAGGCACGCTTGTCAATGTAGCCTTTCGACCAGATGCAAATATCTGCTGCTTGGCTTCTCACTGGACTTGTTTCTGAAAGTAAACTTTAGAATCTTATAGAGCTCGGTTGTCATTGTGGAGCACAGACAGGGTGTCCGGGGGACTTTTCTGCTTTTACTCTGCTGGCTAGCCTAACAAGCATTGTTGAAAGCAACTCTGACGTGTGCAATGAGTTAATTTACAACTCTGGGAAATTCACTATTCCAGAAAGCCTGGGAAAGGTACTATGGAGCCTACTGTTATCCAATTTTACAGGGATTTTTTTTAAACTACTGTTGTTAGCAAAGCATTAACCAACTCCAGTTTTCATAGCCTCTAATTCTGCATCGTTGATTTTGAAGCACATTTGGTTCAGGAGAAGCGGTTCAGACCTTCTTAGGACTATGTATAAGCAGCTGACACCTACAGATGGAAATGTGCCGGAGGAGTTTTCAATCTTAATTCTAGTTCCAGTGACACCCTCAAGGGAAAAATAAATCATTTTTCAATACATTTAACAATTTCCAACTCATTTATTTTCTCAAGCCCCTGATAAAAAAAAAAGGGGGGGTGAGTTTCTCAGAATTACAGCCACCAACGGCGGCTGGTCATTTCTCCTTTATTTTAGGAACTCACAATTCAAGTACCTTTTATTCTTGCTTGTTAATTATTCATTCCATCATCTCATCAATAAATATTTATGAAGCATTTTCTATATGCCTGGCACTATGCTATTCTTGATGGATGTACAGGCGAATGGGGCACACCCTAGTTCTCACTCTCAATGCAACCTGTCTTTGGAAAACAAGTGGGCTTTGCCAGTGGGTAAACCAGGCAATGATGTTCTTGTTTAAAAGATTCATTTGAGGTAGCTGCTCAGATCTAGGTGTCTTTAAAATGACTCTTGTTTATCAATGAGCTCTCTTTCTGCTTCGTCAGGGGCTCTCCTTAAGTCTTTATGGGCTACTCCAGCGTAGAGCTCACCTACAGAGCTAAGCTGGCCTGGGTCTTTCAAGTCCAGGGAGAAGTCTGGAGAACAAGCAGTTTAATCCTTTCTTCTGCTCTTCTGAATACCCTTTGGAAAGGGCCACGTGCTGTTTCTCTCCCCAAGATGAGTGTGAGTCACCTACTCAGCAGCTGACATCAGGCAACTTGATGAGTCACTGAATCAGAAACATGCAGGGAGGAAGATACAGTCACTGTCTTCCACCACCTACTTGTCCTGCCCCCCCCCCCAAACTCCATGGATGACAAAATCCATAATCTCTGGACCTGGCCTAAATGCCTGAGACCCCTGGGAAGATGCTGCCCACAATTGTTCACCAAATTCGGATCTCTGGCAGAACCACACATAGTACTCCTTTCAAATGACCCGGTTTGGTGCTTGATCATGCAATGAGGTTACAGAGGACGGTAGAGTGGGAGGTAGAGAACAAAATCTGAAGACAGCATCACTAGGGATCCTTTATCAGCAAACCATCCTCCGTGATTTGGCTGAAATACCTCTCAAGCCTGATTCACCCTATCCATCCTCAGCTTCTTGGCCAGTGGCCTTTGTGCCATCCTTGCCTCTTCCTATGAGAGTCAGTCAATGCCACTTTGTTCAGTGCAGCAGGAGCAGAGGAGATGGGCAGGCAGGTGGAAGGATCAAGAAGGCCTATGGCCCTCTGGGATAAGGAAGTCAGGGGAAGCAGGGCCATGGGAGGGTGGTTGAGCTCCAGGGCTGAAATTGCTGTGGCCTGTCCTGGCCGTGATCAGCTGTCATTTCCTCTTCGTGTATGACACTGTGGAACATATTAAAATTTCTCTGGGATGGTATGTTTGGAATTCCTCTGATGCCCCACCTCACCAACTTACCCAGACAATAAAAGCAAGGTTGTAAGCCTTTGAACAGCTGGCCGGCTATATATTTCCCCTCTTTCTTTCGCATAATCTAATTCAGAAAAGAATCCCGCTAGACTGGCAGTGCCATGTCTGGGTACTTGCTTCCTGCAAGGCATAGCCTCCCGCCACCTCCTCCAGCCCGCCCTGGAATCTTCTTGGGTGGCATGTGGCTTTTCTTTTCTTTTTGCTCACCACTGGTCATGGCCCGCCCCCTTTTCCGCTGTGCCTGAGCTCCTTCTATTGTGAGCTTCTCTTTGCTCTGCCTGTTTTCCACGCAGCCTGGGTCCTGCACTGTGGAGAACAGCCCATGAGGTCTGCCCATCTCCATAATATTCCCAGGATGTCATTCCTGGCACCAGCTCTGCTGGGCTAATAGGATTTGGGGGTTTTTTTGGAACCCTGAGCCCTAACCCACGTGCAGCAGGGAACAGCCTTGTGGCCAGCTGAGAGCAGGGGTGCAATGACCCAGGGTTGGCAGGGACAAACATACCATCACAGTGACCTGGACATCTCCAGCAAGGGCCTGGGGGAGAGATCGCTAGGAGAAAGGCTAGATGCATTTGCCCTACATGAAAAGAAATGTGGTCACCCACGTGTCAGGACAAGGGACTTGACACTAAGCTCCCAGGATCCTTGGCCCATACCTTATCACCTTCCTCATCCTTCCCTCATTCTTCCTCCCCAACCTGAAAGAAGGAGAGACAGGACTTTTCATTCGGCCAGCATGGGCCTGACAGTCCTTATGAAATCCATTTGGTGAATGGGAGATGGCAAGGGGATTTGGGGTTGATCTGAATGAAAAATGCAGAGGATTTGGGAGACAGGAGTCATCTCCCTGCTCCCTCCCTCCTGTATTTCCTCCCTTTTCCGCCTTCCTTCTTCCTTGTTCTCTTCCTTCCTTCCTCTGCCTCCATTCTTTTCTTCTCTCTCATCTCTTCTTTTTGTCTTAACAACAGAGCAACTGTTTAGTTGGTAGTTGCAAATGGAAAGAACCAGATCTCAGCTACAATTTTCTGAGTCTCTTGCTACCCTCTTGGTGCAGCATCTTTAAAGGATGCTGTTGAGATCCTTAGGGCCAAAAAGGTGTTAAAGAACTATCTGCAAGGTGACTTTCTATTCCTTTGCTTTTCTTGCAGGCTTTTCTTGTCTTTTCCAGATGAGTGAAAATTCATTAAAAGCCTCAACAAGGAAACATTTAACACAACTGAATTAAAATGGGTCTTTTCCTGTTAGCTTGACAAGACAGAAAAGGAAATGGGGAGAGAAAGGGAGAGGGGTATAAAGAAAGAGAAGAAATAATCAACTGCTCCCTACTGCCACTTCTTGGGTTTTAATATGAATTATTCCATACAAGTCCCTAGGCTAGAGGATCTATTTAAAGACAGCTGGCAGCATGAAGGGAGAGGGTAAAAATACAACCACTCTTTTGTCCATCAAAGGTTTTCTTTGGGAGGACATTAAGAGCATTCCTGCTTTCCAGTCTGCCCCTGCCAGTGGCAGCTTTCCAGTGGGTAGTACCCACTCCTCAGCCATCAGGTCAGCAACCATCAACTTCTTGTGTTTGATTCCAGGAGGAAACAAAGGCTGAGCAAGAAGTCCTTCCAAAACCCTTATGTGCACACAGCCGGGCAGGGGCAGCTGGTACTGAAATGAGCCTTTACTTGATTGTGCAGGTTGCATGCTGCAAATTCACACACCCACCCACATGCTGGAATTTTTCAGGCAGTTGTGCCGATGGCATTAT